ATTCTCTCGATGAGAATTTCAAGAGATCAAGAAGGTGCTGTATATATAGACCAGACACTATATATAGAAGAAAAACTGAAACATTTCAACTTGGAGAGGGCAACAGAAGTTACCGTCCAACTTCCATCATCACAGAGCCAAGAAGATCAGCATGAAATGTGTCTTTTCGACCCAAAAATATACAGAGAAGGAACAGGGTCCCTGCTGCATCTTGCCAACAACTCGAGACCTGACATAGCTTATGCTGTGAACAAACTATGTCAAAAGAACCAAAATCCCTCAAGAAAAGACTGGAATGAAGTGAAATATCTATACAGATATTTGAAAGGGACCAAAAATTTGAAATTGGTCTACAAGAGAGGTGGACAACAACTGGAAGTTTATGTGGATGCAGACTGGGCTAATGAAAGGTCTGACAGAAAATCTGTTACTGGGTTCTGTCTCTCCTTAGCTGGTGGAGTAGTTAGCTGGCGCAGTAAGAAACAAACTTCTGTGAGTCTATCTACCGTGGAGGCAGAATACATCGCTCTGAGTGATGTTTCAAGAGAAGTCACTTGGATCTGTGGGCTACTTCGTGACATTGGGTTTGAACATTTAGTTGCAGAACCCATCAACATTCATGTGGACAACCAGGGTGCCATTGCAGTTGCTGAGAACAACATTGTGTCTGAGAGGTCCAAACACATTGATGTCAAGTATCACCACGTTCAAGAACTCATCAGGAATAAATTCATTATGCTAAAATATGTAAATTCCAAGGCAAATCGTGCAGACATTTTCACCAAAGTCTTGAACTCTAAGATGACCAAATATTGGTGTCAAAGCTTAGGGCTCAAGTAATCTATAATATTTGTTCATTTATTTATTCGTGTTGGCATAAGTTGTTTTAATTGAGTGTTATATGGCACTGTTCATCGATTTACTTTGCAATTTATCTCACAGGATGTGCCCAACAAGGGGAGGTGTTAACATATAGTTTTAACAGTTGTTTTATATGTTGGTCACATTGTGTTGTGCAATTTTCCATATACTCATTCTGATTATAATGTCCATTTATATTCTACACATGGTAGTAAATAAAATGTGATAGATGTCAGATAGGAAGAAACTTCAGTCAGAATAAAATTAATAAAGTCAACACTCGTTTTGTTCATTGAGTCGAAATCCAGCTTAGTCAATAAAGTGGATAGTAATATACATTTCGAAGCAGATCAATGTTATTATTACCTAACAGTAACATTATCAATATGCATTGCAAAACTCAATTTGGAATCGAAAATAATATGAGATACTTTTTCCAAATGGGAACCATTCAAATTTCAATCAAATGTAATAGGGATCTGATTCCTAGCAAAGATTATACTGCAACATTTCCATGAGTTCAAAAATAATCTATTCCTTTTTCAATACACATCTAACCTATCGAGATCGTTCTGGAGTTTCATACAATCGTCCAACGGCATAATTCTTGTGAAAAGTTTTAGGTCATCAGCATACAATAAAAATTTAGAATCATGGAAGCATTGATCGATGTCATTGATGAAAATAATGAATAATAAAGGTCCAAGATTTGACCCTTGGAGCACCCCCGAAGTAACTATACTTGGGTTAGAGTAAAATACAATAATACTTATGATCTGAGACCTATTGAATATGTAAGATGAGAACCATCGTAATACATCACCATGCATACCAATCAATCAATCAATCAAAATATACTTTATTGTCAGAAGAAACAAATTCTTGTTGACAAAGCATGATAATAAATAAATAAATATAAATATAGTGAATGAAGTGAATAAAAAATTTCACAGTCAAAGTTGAACCCATTAAAATACAATACCAGGGATGGGAAAGAAGGAACCCAAGGGAGGGAAAGAAGCAACTCAAGGAAGGATAGAAGGAATCCATGGAACTATTGTAGGAAACCAAAAAAAAAAGGAAGGAACCTAAAGAAATAAAAATCCAGAGAAAGAGTACAAAGAACGTAAAAATCCGAGGAAGGAAGGAAACGGAAGGGAACGAAAGAGATCTAACGAAAGAAGGAATCCAATGAAGGAAGGAATCCAAGTAAGGAAAGAAGAAGTCCAAGGGAAGAGGGAAAGAAGGGACCCAAGGAAGGATATAATGAATCCGTGGGAGTATAGAAGGAAACCAAAGGAAGAAGGAAGGAATCCAAGGAAGGAAAAAAGAACCCGAGGATGAATAGATAGATAGATAGATAGATAGATAGATAGATAGATAGATAGATAGATAGATTTATTGATCACGTTACATACAATGTGTATATTTGTGACATGTCAACTAAAATAACGTTGGAAAAACTAAAATTAGATGAAATAGATTTTCATATGTATAAATGTGACACTTAAAAATACAGATTAAAAGCAGAAGAAAAATACATGCATATATAAAATAGAATGATAAATCACAATCACCAAAAAGCTAAAATCTAAAATCATAGCTGTCACTCTAGCACTAGGTCAGAAAGAGGGGTTGACAGGTACTCCTCAACTGAATAGTAGCTGGTCTCAATCAACATATTCTTCACTTTTCTTTGGAATTGCATAAGTGGTAATCGCCTGCAGTGTTCTGGTAATTTATTGAATATATTAACATTCACTGTATTCTTGGCAGACGTTGTCAATCTGAATCTAGGATTTTGTATCATACTACAATTCCTAGTATTGTAAGAATGAACATCGCTGGAAGAGGTGAAGTTTTTTCGAATATAAGTGAGAGATTGAAAAATATAGAGTGAGGGCAGTCATGATTTTAAATTGTTTGAAGTAAGGTCTGCAGGATACCCTGGGCCCCACTCCGGCAATTATCCTGATTGCCCGTTTTTGATATACAAAAACTCTATTTGCATGGGATGAGTTCCCCCAGAGTGTTGTACCATAAGATATATGTGAATGAAAGAGAGAGAAATAAGCTATTCTCAATATGTCGAAACTCAATGATTTTTTTAATGTTCTCAACAGAAATAATTGGCTGGTCAATCTCTTACATAGAAGATTAATGTGAATTGTCCACTATAGTCTGTCATCAAGATGTATTCCTAACAACTTGGCACATTCATTCTTTCTGATAAGTGTATTTGTGCTGAAGATAATGTTTTGATTCTTTGATAAATTCTGTTTGAGGTTATTTGGAATAAGCCATTCATCAATTTCAGATATAATATCCACATCAGTTTTCCTTAATGTAATAGGATTCGAATTCGAATGGTAAAAAGTTGCATCATCTGCAAACATTATACAATTCACAAAATTCATGTGAAAAAATAGGTCATTGACATAGATAATAAATAACAGAGGTCCCAGTACTGAGCCCTGAGGAACTCCGTGTTTGATTGATCTAGGTTTTGATGATTTAGCATTATAATAAATACTTTGTTTCCTATTTGCTAGATACGATTTGAAAAATTCTAAAGCAACTCCTCTAACTCCATAGTGCTCAAGCTTGTCTATCAAAATCCGATGAGAGACACAGTCAAAAGCCTTGCTGAGGTCACACAGAGTCGCAGACGTATGTTGTCCCTCCTCAAAGCCGCCGACCACATCCTCCACCAACTTTGTGACTGCTTGTATTGTAGAGTGCCCCTGCCTAAAACCGAATTGCTGACAATGTAATAAATTTTTGGCCTCAAAATAGTGTGATAATCTTTTTTTTGTAATCATTTCGATAATTTTTCCAATAATAGGTATAATTGAGATTGGCCTATAGTTTTCAGGTAAAAGGGTATCCCCCTTTTTAAAAATAGGCAACACTTTAGTGTCTTTCAAGTTATCGGGAAAAATGCCTCGTGAGAAACATAAATTGCATAGTACCGATATGGGGAGTGCAATCGTGTGTTTAACCTCTTTCAACATTTTACTATTCAAACTGTAGACGTCACAGCAATTTGTATGTTTCAAATCTCTGATAGCATCTTCTATTTCTTGTGGGGTTGTAGGATATAAGTAGAAAGAATTGTAATTTTTGTTAGGTAATGATTTCAAAAAATCTGTTGCTGATACATTAGTGTGTGTCAGCTGATTGATTATAGCATCAGCCACTGTAGAAAAATAGTGAGCAAAAACTTCAACAGACACAGAACTAGAATTTCCACAAGTTGCCTTTTTACCACGTTCTTTGTTAATTAATCTCCATGCATCTTTTGATCGGTTGTTAGAATTGAGGATGTAGTTGTTGTATGCATTCTTTTTGGCATTATTAAGTGCTTTATAGTAATGTGACTTGAAACATTTGAAGTTATGTTTGTCTTCATCAGTTCCAGTATCGTCACTGATAATTTTGTTAATTGATAAAGTATCTCGCATTGTATTTAGAGTTGAATTGAAGAAATTTAGTGGTGAATCTCTTTTTTTATGTGAGAGTTTTCTTTGAGGAAAATTCGATTCTGAATATTGCTGTAGTGTGTTAGTTAAATATTCTGATAATACATGAATATCAGTGCTCTCTGAAAATATAGACCAGTCGATATTAATTATATCGGAGGAAAATTTCTTCAAATTCAGCTGTGATATTTGGCGAGTGTAAATCTCATTAACAGTGCTATTTGACAGTGATTTTAATGTCATGAATTGACCACGATGATCTGAGAGAGAGGTCTCAAGAACACCGGTAGTAAGTGTGTTAATATCAATGAAATTATCAATGGTAGACCCAGTACCTGTCCTAGGATCGATTCTTGTGTGTTCATGTATAGTGTGTATTAGACCAAATGAACCAGCTAAATCTAAAAATATGTTTAGCGGCACATTGTCTAGATCTTCGAAATGTATATTGAAGTCACCAGTAATGACTAAGCGTTTTTGTTTGGTATGTAAGAAAGTAAGCAGCTCTTCAAATCTTAAATAAAATTGATTTAGGAATAGAAGGAATCCAAAGAAGAAAGGAAAGAAGGAATCCAAAGGAGGAAGAAATAAAAAAAAATTGAAACCAAAGTATGAAGGAATCCAAAAAAAGGTAATATTCTCAATCTCTCATCTTACCTTGATGCCGGCGACCGTGACGCCGTACTTGCGTCCTCTCTAAGACTCAACGCAGCGTCGGGATTGAGCAGGTCCTTCACCAGCTCGTTGTACACCTCCAAGTAGGTGATGCCAAGCTCGAAGTCTCGCTCCTCGCCAAAGAAGGGAGGAATCCAAAGAGAGAAGGAATCCAAAGAACGAAAAAATCCAAGGAAGAAATCCAAAGAATAAAGGAATCCAAAGAACGAAAAAATCCAAGGGACGGCGGATGTAAACGGGAGGGAACGGAAGATATCTAACGAAAGAAGGAATCAAAAGAAGGCAGGAATCCATAGAGGGAAGGAATCCAAGGGAGGATGGAAAAAAGGAACCCAAAGGAGTAGGGAAAGAAGGAAAGCAAGGAAGGACAGAAGGACTCCATGTAAGTATAGAAGGAAACCAAAGAAAGAAGGGAGGAACCCAAAGTAGGAAAAATCTGAAGAAAGAAGGAATCCAAAAAACGAAGAAATCCAATTGAGGGAACAAGGAAACGGAAGGGAACAGAAGAGATCTAACGAAAGAAAGAATCTAAAGGCAGGAATCCAAGGGAGATGGGAAAGAAGGAACCCAAGGGAGGAGGGAATGAATCAACCCAAGGAAGGAATCCATGGAACTATAGTAGGAAACCAAAATACAAGAAGAAAGGAATCCAAAGAAATAAAATGCCAAAGAAAGAGTGAATACAAAGAACGAAAAAAGGAATCTAAAGATGGCAGGAATCCAAAGAAGGAAGGAATCCAAGAAAGGAAGGAATCCATGGAAGTATAGAAGGAAACCAAAGGGAGAAGAAAGGAATCCAAGGAAGGAAAGAAGGAACCCGAGGAGGGAAAGAAAGAATCCAAAGAAAAAAGGAAAGAAGGAATCAAAAGGAGGAAGAAATCCAAAAGAGGAATAAATCCAAAGTATGATGGAATCCAAGGAAAGGTAGTATTCTCAATCGCTCATCTTACCTTGATGCCGGCGACAGTGACGCCGTACTTGGCATCCTCTCGGAGACTTAACGGAGCGCCGGGATTGAGCAGGTCCTTCACCAGCTCGTTGTACACCTCCAAGTAGGTGATGCCGAGCTCGAAGTCTCGCTCCTCGCCCAGCTCCTCCTTCTTCCTGAACAGCTCGGTCATCGTCAAGAAGGTGACGCCGGGCTGCAGCGAGTTGCCTTAAGAGAAAACGTTCAGGGGGTGATTCCTCTCGGTATGCAGGGTGGGTCAATGTATATGGTGTTTCTTAAGTTCGTGTAGAAAATTCAGGAACATGTTGCTGACGTCAAAATAAGAAGAAAAGTTCGTTTAAATATATGTCCGACAGTTATTCGTTTCTGAAATACAGAGTGTCAAAGTTGAATTTTTATTTTTGTTTTTTGATAATAAATTTCAAAATAATTGTGATATTCGAATGAAATTTGATATCTAGGAGTATTTTGCAATGACAATATCAAATTGTATGTTAATTTATCTCTTTCGTGGGTGTGGCGCCACCTACATGTCTTTTGAGTTTTTTGAAAAGTCATAACCTGCGTACCTGTATCACATTTTATAATAAAAAAAATTAATTTCTATAACTTGTGTGTGAAAATTATATTCTTGGTAGAGGTCGCTGCGAGCAACTGTTTTCGAGTTACTTCCATGGCGCTAGTAAGATTTTGTGCAATATTTCTCGTGCTTGTCTGTGGATCTTCTTCGATTGCCTGAAGAACAGCTTCTTCAATTTCTGGAGTTCTAGTAGTCAACGGTCTGCCTATCACTGGAGGTTTTTTGAAGGATCCACTCTATAAGACGCTGAAAAAGGTTTTTGAATGTCTGGTGATTCGGCAGTCGATGATTAGGGAATCTTTCATTTGATTGTTATTTTTTTGAATTGGAAGAGTCCAAAAGAGTAGGTACAAAGAAGTAAGAATCATTTTTTGCTGGATAATCCAATGTTGAATCTGTAGGAGAATATTGGATGGACGAAGAAAAATGCACTGGCATATCTTTTCTGATATTTACTACTTAGAGTCGACTAACAAAAATAAGAATTCAACTTTGACACTCTGTATCTCAGAATCGAACAACTTTCAGACATATATTTATAGGAGCTTTTCTTCTTATTTCGACGTCAACAACATGCTCCTGAATTTTCTACACGTACTTAAGAAACACCCTGTATAAGGTACCTTAGACGTTTACGAAAACGGGATATCGGATCTAATTTGGTTACTCAAATAGTTCCTCTTGGTATATCTATCGATCTAAAATATTTTCGATAATGCAGTGTTGCTGCTTCTATCGAAAAGAAGCGACAACTTTGTTATTTCAAATGGAATACTCTGTATTTCATTGCATATTTAGATCCTCCCAGAAGAGCTGATTTCATCGATATGTCACACTTGGGGTCTAGCGGGAATTATTGCAGAGATATAAGGTGTTCAAAATCAAGATTTTCAAACTTTGGGATTTATTTGCTACGAAATTATTCATTATCGGTCAAAACAGCTTCCATGTCTCTATCTGAACTTCTGATCTCAGGTCGCTTATAAAAGCATCAAAAAGGGAGCTATAGAAAGAATAATGCTGCCAACTAGAAAACGATATTTGGGGTCAAGGATACAGACTGGCTAAGAAAACCCTGTGAGCCCATGCAACATTAGCATGGAAAGAAAACTCGGGATTATGATAGAGCTTTTTCCTACTGATCTGGATTCATGGAATAGAGAAGAGGTAAGAGAGGAGGTGATACCTTTCACAATTGAGAAACTCCTACTAGCCACTGACAACCTTAAGGCAGGAAAAGCACCCGGAATAGACGGGATCTACCTAATATATAATCAACAATTGCCGGGGTAGCAATCGGATGGGACCAACTCCCGCCCCCCTCTCACAAGACTCCCATAGGGATGACTGCTGTTAACCTATCTTTCGACTTGTACCGACAGCACCCCAGGGAGAAATAGAGGATTTGGATAAGCCAAATCTGCGCGCTAGAGCGTTACCACCGATACAACAAGGCCTGCATGCTCCGTGGGTGACGTCACTTAGTGAGGCCTAACCAGCGGCTCGAAACGACAAGCGCTTATAGCGCTATAAGGCGACCGCGTATTTCGATTTTAGTTTTAGATCATCATTGAGCCGATTTTGCTGTTTTTTGAAGGGCTTCCGGTTAAAAAAGGATGCCAGTCGTCAACTGAGCCCTTCTTCGCACCCATTCGATTTTATTATGGAAAAACGAAGTAAAGCAAAAACCAGGATAAAACACAAATATCCACCTACAGCAACCCATTCGAATTAAATATTTTGGCAAAAATTGTGGTGAAGGTAAACTTCACACCTACTTATACAGGGCCCGCAGAACATAAACTTATCGTGAGATTGATCGATAGAAAATTGTGGAAAATGTATTTTATTTTGATTGACATGCCGTTTGTTACAATTACCTATATTCATGTTGGAGAATTCCTATTACCTGAAAAAATAACCAGTGAGTGTTTTCAATTTTCTGTTGTTGGATTTTTCACCCAAGTGGATAGTTACACTTGAAACCGTAATTTTTAAGGGTAAAACTGCATTTATCATGCGATGTTTTTTTTTTGAAAATTTTTTTCGGTACTCACGTATTTTTGTCTGATAAACCGAATTTTATGATGAAAATGTGAACAAACCACTACTCATTGAGATATTTCAAGAAAAAGTTCGAAATTTCGCCTTCTTTCTCCCCTTGTGTTGGGGGCATTTGAAGCTACTTGCTCTTATTTTGTCATTGGACACTTTATATACTCATGATGTACTTCGATGGCACATTTTTATATAGAAAATTCAACAGGAAATATGATTTTTTTGGCGAATTTTTCATATTTAGTGAACAAGCATTCCAGATAACGACCATTTAATCAATAGTCAATCAAAATACGAGATGTCAAATGTCAATAGATTGCTTTGAATGACATTACACACGCCATTATTTTGAATGATATTCTTCCTTCTTTTCACTAAATATGGATTGATCTCAAGAAAATCTTATTTATAGTTGAATTATATATAAATTGTCCAATATGATGAAAAAAAAAGGGAAATTTGTTCTAAATGCCATCCAGAAGACACCTGAAAAAGAAGGTGAAATTTGGAACTTTTTAGTCAAATATCTTCATGATAAATATCATGATAGCATTTATCAGTTTTACCTTTTAAAGTAGAGTGTTTGTAGTTGATGTTAATATGATAGTTGCAATTTGATCATTGGAATGAATTCTACATTCATTGCCACGAGGCAAATTACCGTTTTCAGAAAGAAATTTGAGGGTGAGAATTAAAAATGCCCGTTTATTATGAACATTCAAGAAAATTTCCTCGAATTCAGAGATGATTTTGTTGACTATAATATACGAATACAAAACTAACTGCACAATCAAAGCTTTTCTATTTTTCCTCTACTTATACTTTTTATGAGAGAGTAATAATTGTCTTCTATTATTAATTCATCATTATAAATTAAGCTCTGTTTACTACTGAACTTAGATGGAGTAAAATCCTCGCGGTGAATTGCATATACCCACATTTTCGATAGCTCCTCGTCCAACGGGAACCTAAAAGCATGAACTTTTGAACCACCCACATAATTCCCCCGACAAAAGGGAACACAACACTTGAAAGGCATTGTTATATCGCCGATCACAACACAAAATATTTCACGAAACTGTAATTTTTCCGCCAATTATTTTGATGAATAAACAACAAAAGAATTCGGAACCGTTTCAAAAACATACGTGAATCACCGATGAATTAACACGAACTGACGCGTTAGTCGACAAGCGATAAAATAAAACACTGGCCTCTCTTGGTGACGTCACGAGCTGTTTACGTCAGAGTCTGTTGGACTTGTTGTATCGGTGGTAACGGCTAGAGCCATCTCCTTAAACCGCATGTTCTCCTGCTACAATTTTATTATACCAATGGTGAGGCCGTCTGATAAGACAGACTACTGGCTCTGCAGTGTCAGTACCCGATCAGCTCACCCGCCGAGGCAGACAAGATATCCTCCCACTTGACCCATAGTGGAATTCTTCTTCACCTCCTCTACCGTAGTCCGGTGGTGTTTTGGAGTCCAACGCAATTGGTGAGGCACCAGGCCGTATATACGGCCTAATGAGGCTATCCTCATCACCCCAGGTACCCATGTCAACAAGATTCCTCTTGTTACGTTTGATGGGTCGCCGTCGCAAGAGGCTTTGGCCTGATTGCTGCTCATGTTGACAAGAATCCTCTCGTCCCGTTGAATGAGTGATTGTTCGAGGACTTTCACACGTACCTCTACCTCCTCCAAAGAAAAAGGTAGATAGATAGACAGGTAGATAGATAAATTTATTCATTTCTACAGAGTTGTTTTAGTTGTTTCATAAATACACATACAGATAAAATATAATCCATATTGAAACAAGTGATTCTTCCAGTGATTCTTTTTGTACAAAAATGAAAGGCCTTTCATAGTTTTGTTTAAAATCTGTAAATTTTTATTATTGGCTCACTTCTTAGTAAAGAAAAAAAAATACAAGAACCGGTTGCATAAAACATTCAACAGACCATAGAATATTTGATTTATTATAGTGTAATATTTGATGTGTGTATATCCATGGCAATGTATGCCTTAGCTGAGGTTTCTGAAACAGGCCCTGATTATACCAAAGTTACCAATGCTTGCTGATACATGATTTGGATTACCCTGTATACTTAATGAACAAGTAGGTACAACATAGTTACTAATGATAATGATAATAATAATAATAAAGTTTATTCAAAATGTTTACATATTATAAATTAGAATTATACATAATGGTACTGGTACTGGTGGGGGACGTTTCCACGTCAGCAACTAGTCCCCAATGGGACCTTTTTGCCAACCCCAAGTGTTTTCAATGACTGATGTGGTTCGCTCAAGAGAGCTGGCTAACATCCTTTTCAGGCACCGCCCCTCAGCTCTCTTTTCAGAGTTTTTCAGCTGTGTTTTGTAGGCTAGTAATGTACTCACTACCATATGCGCAGTGGCAGGCCTGCTAACTATCATCGTTAACCCCCGAGACCGAGGTCTACTTAAGCAGCTGGCCCGCTCTCACGCTCAGCTGGTAGTTTTCTACACCCACCTACATACACCGTCCTACTTCTTCTCTGATGCTCACAACCACATCATCAT